CTGGCGGCCATCTCCATGCGATCGGGAGATGATGTGAAGCCGGTCCTTGACAAGATCAAGGACACATATGCGAGGATGGCAGCGGCGGGCAGCGAAGTGTCGCAGATGCAGCAATGCACCAAAATCATCTCGGTGCTCGACAACTCACGGGACAACCTCATCCCCACCCTCAACGTTCAGCAGGACAAGTGGACGCCTAAGTGGCTACGGCAGCAGATCCTGCAGGAGGACTTCCGCAGGCGCCACACGGGAGGTGGTGCTGCCAACAAAACTGCTGAGGGGTATGGAGCTGCAGGAGGCAGCAGAGGAAGAGGGGGTGGGAGAGGCCGAGGCCGTGGGAGAGGCTTTGGCAGAGGGAGAGGCCGAGGTGACTACAATGAAGGGCATGGGAGCTCTGGAGGCAGGGGGAGCACCCGAATGGAGGGAGCGTGCTGGTACTGCAAGAAGGCTGGACACCCATGGTTCAAGTGTTTCAGCCGGCCTGAGGGATGGGCGCCCCCAGGCATGAAGTCGCCAAGTGGTGAACGTGCACGAGGTGGCGCTGTGCAAGGTTCAAGTGCACAAGGTGATGGTGCACAAGGTAAAGCCGACCGTGGGATGTTCCTCATGGTTGAGGATGTGCAAGGGAGTGGGGGTGATGTGGGTTCAGTTGGGAAGGTTGTTATGCACCCCCTCACTCACTGGGTGATCGATTCAGGTTGCACAAGTCACATGACCCCACGGGCAGATTTGCTTGACGAGGTACAACCCCCTGGGAAGATAAAGTTTGTGGCTGCCGCTTCAGGTGCTTTGCTCCCTGTGATTGGTGTGGGGAATGCCAAGGTAATCGGAGCTAATGGGGGGCTTGTGGGGCTGGGGAATGTACTGTTGGTTGAAGGTTTGTCCGCTAACCTTCTTTCTGTGCGCCGGCTGCAGAAAAGCAAGGCCAAAGTTACGTTCGGCCCAACTAGCTGCCGTGCAAAGCTTGGGAAGTTGCTGCTGTGGGACTTGGAGGAGAAGAGCAGCTGCATCAAGGACCTGTGGCAGCTGCCCATCATCCCTTTGAATGGGAAACCACCAGGAAAGGCGACGGCAGCAGCAGCGGCTAAAGCAACTGCGGGAGGAGAGGAGACTGCACCAACTGATGGGGTCCTGGATGCAGTCAAGAAGGTGCTGCAGCCACAGCAGTCACATGGTGAGGTGCTTGCTGGTGTGGATGCAACAGCTGCATGGGCAAAGGCTTCATCTGGGAGTGGTGAGGCCGATTGGGAGACGTGGCACGAGAGGTTGTGTCACATCAACATCCCTATGCTGCAGAAGTTAGTGAAGGATGGGTGCTTGAAGGGGCTGGAGGTGAAGGGGGCAGCAAAGGAGATTGGGAGCTGTCCTACATGCCTTGAGACCAAGTTCACAAAATTTCCCTTCAGCAGCAGCACAGGACCAGCCAAGGCTCCACTTGCACTAGTGCACATGGATGTGGTGGGCCCCACGAGGGCCCTTTCTCTCTCGGGCAGCCGCTAATTCTTGACGATAGTGGACGACCACACGCGTGCGGTGTGGGTGTACCCTCTCAAGACCAAGGGGGAGGTGGCAGCGGCTGTTCTCAAGGAGTGGATGCCGAGAGCTCAAAGGGAGAGCGGACATAAGGTGAAGGTGATCCGCACTGACAACGGGGGAGAATTCATTGGCGCTGATTTTGAGGCGGTGCTGAAGAAGAAGGGGATCCAGCATCAGCTCACGGTGCCCTACAACCCTCAGCAGAACGGTGTGGCTGAGCGGTTCAACCGGACCCTGCAGGAAGGTGCTCGCACTCTCCTTGGGCGTGCAGGGCTGCCGGATCCGTTTTGGGTGACTGCACTGCGGCAGGTCGCCCTTGTGAAGAACAGGGTGCTGGCGACTGTGGGGGACAAGCAGTGGGTCCCCTACACCAAATGGTATGGGAGTGCACCAGCTGTGAACATGCTGAGAGCCTTTGGGTGCATGGTGGTGTTTCATGTGCCTAAGGAGAAGAGGGGAAAACTGGAAGCTTCTGGGAGATGGGGTGTGCACTTGGGGCTTGCTAAGGATCACAAGGGCTGGCTGATTTGGGACTTGACCAGCCAGCAGCTAACTGTGTCAAGGGATGTGAAGTTCCTTGAGTCCTTGTACTATAAGGAGTGGAAGCAGCAGCAGCAGAAGCTCCCTACTACACCGCTGATCATTGAGGCTGATGAGGTGCAGCGGCCTTCGAGGCAAGTGCAGGTCACTGTCTCAGAGGAGGAGATTTCTGGGGTGACTGAGGATGGGGGAGAACCTGAGGTGGAGGAGCAGCAGCAGCAGCCGCAGCAGCAGCAGCAAGATGCTCCGCAAGGTGCCGCACGTCCGGCTGACCGTCCAAGGAGGGATGTGCGCCCTCCTAACCGGCTGACCTATCCGTGCTTTGGCAAGCCAAAGGTGGTAAGGGCTGGGAGTGTGGCTGAGCAGTGTGATGAGGAAGAGATAGCACACTGCTACTGGGCAGCCGACCCTGAGCCTAAGATGCTAGCTGAGGCATTGAGCGGGCCCGATGCTGAAAAGTGGAAGCAGAGTGTGAAGGAGGAGTACGACTCTCTGCTGGAGAATGAGACTTGGGAGTTGTGTGAGCTGCCTCCTGGGAAGAAGGCCATTTCTTCCAAGCTGATTTTCAGGCACAAGTACGGACCTGATGGGGCGCTGACCCGCTACAAGTCAAGGCTTGTGGCTAAGGGGTTTCAGCAGACAAAGGGAAAGGACTTCAACGAGCTCTATGCTCCTGTGGGGAAAGGCACAACACTGCGGGTGTCATTGGCAATGGCAGCAAACCGTGGATGGCGGGTGAAGCAGATGGACATCACCACCGCCTTCCTCAATGGGATCATTCTGGAGGAGCTGTACATGTTACAGCCTGAGGGTTTGGATGATGGGAGCGGCAGGGTGTGCAGGCTGAAGAAGGCCATCTATGGCCTGAAGCAGGCTCCTCGTGCATGGTACCACAAGTTAGAGGAGACTCTGCTGGCTGGGAGTTTCAAGAAGAGTGAGTGTGATCACAGCTTGTTCCTGCTGCAAGAGAAGGAGCAGTTTCTCATGCTCCTGGTGTATGTGGACGACATCCTGCTCTTCTCTGAGTCATCTGCAATGATTGAGCGTGTGGAGGAGATGCTGGAGATGCAGTTTAAGTGCTCCAAGATGGGAGATGTGAAGTACTATTTGGGGATGCATGTGGAGAGGGACCTTGACAAGGGAGTGTTGAGGTTGCACCAGAGAAAGTATTGTGAGGGGCTGGCTGAGAAGTATGGGCTGCAAGATGGAGGAAAGCCAGCCACCCCACTGCCTTCGGGGTTCACTGTGGAGCCCTGTGCTGATGAGGAGGTGGTGGGTGAGAGTGACAGGAAACTTTTTCATTCCATGGTTGGGGCACTCAACTATGCGGCTAACCACACACGGCCTGACATTGCCTTTGCAACATCCAGGCTTGCCAGTGTGGTTTCGCGCCCCAGTCATGAGCAGCTGGAAGCGGCCAAGAGGTTGGTCCGCTATGTGAGTGCAACGGCATCAGTGGGTTTGGAGTACAGTGCTGTGAGACAGAGGCTGCAGAGGGGTGCAACTGATTTAAGCAAGGGGGAGATGCTCTTGACTTGCTACACTGACGCTAGCTTCAACTCTGTGAAGGCGGATGGCACCAGCATTGGAGGCTATGTGTGCCTGTTTGGAGGTGGTGCAGTGAGCTGGCGCAGTAAGAAGCAGAATGAGGTGGGGCAGTCCTCGTGTGAGACAGAGTATATGGCCCTGCATCATGGGGCAAAGGAGGTGGTGTGGCTGAGGCGTTTGTTGGAGGAGATTGGAGTTGGTCAGAGGGAGCCGACAATCATGTTCTGTGACAATGAGTCGGCAGTGAAGCTTGCCAAGAACGCCTGCCTTCATGGGCTGACAAAGCACATCAGGCGCAAGTGGCACTGGGTGAGGAGGCTCCTGGACAAGGAGGTGCGACTGGAGATTGTGAAGACCCATCAGCAGGCGGCTGACATTCTCACCAAGCGCCTGGCTGAATCTGAGCATTGGAAGGGCATGAAGCTTGCTGGGATGAGTGTGCATTGAGGATGCATGATTGAGCTATGGCATGTGGGATGATGGTAGGCAGCCAGAGGGGGAGTTTGTTATGTGATGCTATCACTTGCATTCACGTCTGTCTGCCTCCCATCACATGTTCGTGCGTTGCATGCGTGGTGTGAGCGTGTGCAAGAATTTGTGTTTTCTGTGGTTTGGATTCTCTGAGTGTGTGTGAATGTTATTTGGCTTGAGCAGATATCTGAAGTGACTCCACTGCTCAAGAGCTTTCCGACGAACCAAGTATCGCTTCAATCGGAGCACGAACAAGAAAGTTACGAACGTTGGAAGTTCGTATGCTTTTGATATTTGGTTGTGGTGACTATGGGAAGTTGTGGGGTTGACTCCATAAGGGGTATAGACTTTTGGGGGTTGGGAAATTCGTCAAAATCACTGTAGATGCTGCCAAGTGGTTGGGAGAAACCAAACCAGGTTGGCAAGTGTGGCCAACTTGGGCAAGGTGGATGGCATGGGTTGGGAAAGTGACAAAAGTGAAAGTGGGGTTGTCTATGGAGAGGGGAATTGTGTGGCATGGGGTTTTCTTGGTTGGGGACTCTCTTGGGACCTTCCCTCTCGTCCTCCTCATCCCATACCACCTGGTTTATTGCTACTCCAACTCTCTTGTGTAGTAATTTGTGGAACTTGTGAGACTCTTGTGATTGAGTTAAAGTTCTTATGGCAGCATACCCCCTTGTGCGCCAAAATTCATAAGTCGAGAAATACTTCACCTTTGGATACAATTCAAATTGGGAAATGTAGCTACGGTCTAGGGCTACAACATATATAAGTTTCGTGAAGTTTTCACCGTGAACGTTTCGTCGACGGCGTTTCTTGTGAGCGCGACTATTCTGTCCAGAAATTGAGACCAACGATTTTGTGATATTTCGGCTCCTTATCTTCATAGACTCCGTCCTTAGTCTCTAACAAGAATGGGGCGGGGCGATGGGAAGAGGGAGAATGAGGCGGGGTGATGGAAAGCGGGACAATGGGGCGGGGTGATGGAAAGAGGGAGAATGGGGCGGGGCGATGGGAAGAGACAGAATGGGGCGGGGTGATGGAAAGAGGGAGAATGGGGCGGGGTGATGGAAAGCGGGAGATTGGGGCAAGGCGATGGAAAGCTGGAGAATGGGGCGGGGCGATGGAAAGCGGGAGAATGGGGCGAGGGATGGAAAGCGGGAGAATGGGGCGGGGTGATGGAAAGCAGGAGAATGGGGCGAGGTGATTGAAAGCGGGAGAACGGGGCGGGGTGATGGAAAGCGGGAGAATGGGGCGGGGTGATGGAAAGCGGGAGAATGGGGCGAGGAGATGGAAAGCAGGAGAATGGGGCGGGGCGATGGAAAGAGGGAGAATGGGGCGGGGCGATGGAAAGAGGGAGAATGAGGCGGGGCGATGGAAAGCGGGAGAATGGGGCGGGGAGATGGAAAGCGGGAGAATGGGGCGGGGTGATGGAAAGAGGGAGAATCGGGCGGGGTGATGGAAAGAGGGAGAATGGGGATGGGTGATGGAGGGGCTGGGTGATGGAAAGAGGGAGAATGGGCTGGGTGGTGGAAAGAGGGAGAATGGGGCGGGGCGATGGAAAGCGGGAGAATGGGGCGGGGCGATAAAAAGAGGGAGAATGAGGCGGGGTGATGGAAAGCGGGAGAATGGGGCGGGGTGATGGAAAGAGGGGGAATGGGGCGGGGCGATGGGAAGAGGCAGAATGGGGCGGGGTGATGGAAAGCGGGAGAATGGGGCGGGGTGATGGAAAGCGGGAGATTGGGGCGGGGCGATGGAAAGCGGGAGAATGGGGCGGGGTGATGGAAAGCGGGAGAATGGGGCGGGGCGATGGAAAGCGGGAGAATGGGGCGGGGTGATGGAAAGCGGGAGAATGGGGCGGGGTGATGGAAAGCGGGAGAATGGGGCGGGGTGATGGAAAGCGGGAGAATGGGGCGGGGTGATGGAAAGCGGGAGAATGGGGCAGGGTGATGGAAAGCGGGAAAACGGGGCGGGGCAATGGAAAGCGGGAGAATGGGGCGGGGTGATGGAAAGAGGGAGAATGAGGCGGGGTGATGGAAAGCGGGAGAATGGAGCGGAGTGATGGAAAGAGGGAGAATGGGGTGGGGTGATGGAAAGAGGGAGAATGGGGCGGGGTGATGGAAAGCGGAAGAATGGGGCGGAGCGATGGAAAGCGGGAGAACGGGGCGGGGTAATGGAAAGAGGGAGAACGGGGCGGGGTGATGGAAAGCAGGAGAATGGGGCTGGGTGATGGAAAGAGGGAGAATGGGGCGGGGTGATGGAAAGAGGGAGAATGGGGCGAAGTGATGGAAAGAGGGAGAATGGGGTGGGGTGATGGAAAGCGGGAGAATGGGGCGGGGTGATGGAAAGCGGGAGAACGGGGCGGGGTAATGGAAAGAGGGAGAACGGGGCGAGGTGATGGAAAGAGGGAGAATGGGGCTGGGCGATGGAAAGAGGGAGAATGGGGCGGGTCGATGGAAAGCAGGAGAATAGGGCGTGGCGATGGAATGCAGGAGAATGGGGCGTGGCGACGAAAAGCAGGAGAATGGGGCGGGGTGATGGAAAGAGGGAGAATGGGGCAGGGTGATGGAAAGCGGGAGAACGGGGCAGGGTGATGGAAAGCGGGAGAACGGGGCGGGGTGATGGAAAGCGGGAGAATGGGGCGGGGTGATGGAAAGCGGGAGAGTGGGGCGGGGTGATGGAAAGCGGGAGAATGGGGCGGGGAGATGGAAAGCGGGAGAATGGGGCGGGAGATGGAAAGCGGGAGAATGGGGCGGGGTGATGGAAAGAGGGAGAATGGGGCGGGGTGATGGAAAGAGAGAGAATGGGGCGGGGTGATGGAAAGAGGGAGAATGGGGCGGGTTGATGGAAAGCGGGAGAATGGGGCGGGGTGATGGAAAGCGGGAGAATGGGGTGGGGTGATGCAAAACGGGAGAATGGGGCGGGGTGATGGAAAGCGGGAGTACGGGGCAGGGTGATGGAAAGAGGGGGAATGGGGCGGGATGATTGAAAGAGGGAGAATGGGGCGGGGTGATGGAAAGAGGGAGAATGGGGCGGGATGATGGAAAGCGGGAGAATGGGGCGGGGTGATGGAAAGAGGGAGAATGGGGCGCGGTGATGGAAAGCGGGAGAACGGGGCGGGGTGATGGAAAGAGGGAGAATGGGGCAGGGTGATGGAAAGAGGGAGAATGTGGCTGGGTGATGGAAAGAGGGAGAATGGGGCGGGGTGATGGAAAGAGGGAGAATAGGGCGGGGTGATGGAAAGTGGGTGATTGGGGCAGGGTGATTGAAAGAGGGAGAATGGGGCGGGGTGATGGAAAGAGGGAGAATGGGGCGGGGTGATGGAAAGCGTGAGAATGGGGCGGGGTGATGGAAAGAGGGAGAATGGGGCGGGGCGATAGAAAGCGGGAGAATAGGGCGGGTCGATGGAAAGCGGGAGAATGGGGCGGGGTGATGGAAAGCGGGAGAATGGGGCTGGGTGATGGAAAGAGGGAGAATGGGGCGGGGTGATGGAAAGAGGGAGAATGGGGCTGCGTGATGGGAAGAGGGAGAATGGGGCTGGGTGATGGAAAGAGGGAGAATGGGGCTGGGTGATGGAAAGCGGGATAATGGGGCGGGGTGTTTGAAAGAAGGGGAATGGGGCTGGGTGATGGAAAGAGGGAGAATGGGGCGGGGTGACGGAAAGCAAGAGAATGGGGCGGGGTGATGGAAAGAGGGAGAATGGGGCAGGGTGATGGAAAGAGGGAGAATGGGGCGGGGCGATGGAAAGAGGAAGAATGAGGCGGGGCGATGGAAAGCGGAAGAATGGGGCGGGGCGATGGAAAGCGGGAGAATGGGGCGGGGTGATGGAAAGAGGGAGAATGGGGCGGGGTGATGGAAAGAGGGAGAATGGGGCGGGGTGATGGAAAGAGGGGCAAATGGGCTGGGTGATGGAAAGAGGGAGAAATGGGCTGGGTAAGGGAAAGAGGGAGAATGGGGCGGGGTGATGGGAAGCGGGAGAATGGGGCAGGGTGATGGAAAGCGGGAGAATGGGCAGGGGTGATGGAAAGCGGGAGAATGGGGCAGGGTGATGGAAAGCGGGAGAATGGGGCGGGGTGATGGAAAGAGGGAGAATGGGGCGGGGTGATGGAAAGAGGGAGAATGGGGCACGTTGATGGAAAGCGGGAGAATGGGGCGGGGTGATGGAAAGCGGGAGAATGGGGCGGGGCGATAGAAAGACGAAGAATGAGGCGGGGCGATGGAAAGCGGAAGAATGGGGCGCGGCGATGGAAAGCGGGAGAATGGGGCGGGGTGATGGAAAGAGGGAGAATGGGGCGGGGTGATGGAAAGAGGGAGAATGGGGCGGGGTGATGGGAGAAATGGGCTGGGTGATGGAAAGAGGGAGAAATGGGCTGGGTGAGGGAAACAGGGAGAATGGGGCGGGGTGATGGGAAGCAGGAGAATGGGGCGTGGTGATGGAAAGCGGGAGAATGGGCCGGGGTGATGGAAAGCGAGAGAATGGGGCGTGGTGATGGAAAGCGGGAGAATGGGGCGGGGTGATGGAAAGAGGGAGAATGGGGCGGGGTGATGGAAAGCGGGAGAAATGGGCGGGGTGATGGAAAGAGGGAGAATGGGGCAGGGTGATGGAAAGCGGGAGAATGGGGTTGTGTGATGGAAAGCGGGAGAATGGGGCGGGGTGATGGAAAGCGGGAGAATGGGGCGGGGTGATGGAAAGAGGGAGAATGGGGCGGGGTGATGGAAAGAGGGAGAATGGGGCGGGGTGATGGAAAGCGGGAGAATAAAGCTGGGTGATGGAAAGCGAGAGAATGGGGCGGGGTGATGGAAAGAGGGAGAATGTGGCGGAGTGATGGAAAGTGGGAGAATGGGGCGGGGTGTTGGAAAGCGGGGGAATGGGGCGGGGTGATGGAAAGAGGGAGAATGGGGTTGGGTGATGGAAAGAGGGAGAATGGGGCGGGGTGATGGAAAGAGGGAGAATGGGGCGGGATGATGGAAAGCAGGAGAATGGGGCCGGTTGATGGAAAGAGGGAGAATGGGGCGCAGTGACGGAAAGCGGGAGAACGGGGCGGGGTGATGGAAAGAGGGAGAATGGGGCAGGGTGATGGAAAGAGGGAGAATGTTGCTGGGTGATGGAAAGAGGGAGAATGGGGCGGGGTGATGGAAAGAGGGAGAATAGGGCGGGGTGATGGAAAGAGGGGGAATGGGGCGGGGTGATTGAAAGAGGGAGAATGGGGCGGGGTGATGGAAAGAGGGAGAATGGGGCGGGATGATGGAAAGCGGGAGAATGGGGCGGGGTGATGGAAAGAGGGAGAATGGGGCGCGGTGATGGAAAGCGGGAGAACGGGGCGGGGTGATGGAAAGAGGGAGAATGGGGCAGGGTGATGGAAAGAGGGAGAATGTGGCTGGGTGATGGAAAGAGGGAGAATGGGGCGGGGTGATGGAAAGAGGGAGAATAGGGCGGGGTGATGGAAAGTGGGTGATTGGGGAAGGGTGATTGAAAGAGGGAGAATGGGGCGGGGTGATGGAAAGAGGGAGAATGGGGCGGGGTGATGGAAAGCGTGAGAATGGGGCGGGGTGATGGAAAGAGGGAGAATGGGGCGGGGCGATAGAAAGCGGGAGAATAGGGCAGGTCGATGGAAAGCGGGAGAATGGGGCGGGGTGATGGAAAGCGGGAGAATGGGGCTGGGTGATGGAAAGAGGGAGAATGGGGCGGGGTGATGGAAAGAGGGAGAATGGGGCTGCGTGATGGGAAGAGGGAGAATGGGGCTGGGTGATGGAAAGAGGGAGAATGGGGCTGGGTGATGGAAAGCGGGATAATGGGGCGGGGTGTTTGAAAGAAGGGGAATAGGGCTGGGTGATGGAAAGCAAGAGAATGGGGCGGGGTGATGGAAAGAGGGAGAATGGGGCAGGGTGATGGAAAGAGGGAGAATGGTGTTGTGCCAACACATTACAGTGGCACGGTCATCGCACTCCCATTCGGCCTACAAGCCTGCTCAGCTTCTGGAATTTTGTGGGGAGGTTGTTCAACACGTTTTCTTGAAACCCTCAAAGTTTCAGAGTTTTTCAAGCAGTTACCAAGGCATGACAACATTTTATGTTTCAAGACTTATGGCATCCCGGAAGTGTGTGTTACTCCTTTTTGGTAACACCCGAGTTCACCATTTCGGCTGCTGACTCGTCTACCGAGATCTGATTGGTCTGAAATTCGGTCTGGCAGTCCTTTGCCCCGCTGTGCAAGTGGTCACCAAGTTTCAGAACGATCCAACATCTGAGCATTGCGTGACAACTGCCGAAATTCACTGTTCCGTAGTCATGGTGCACTGTTGGCAGCATTTCCCTTGCCACCCTTTCATTGTTGTCATGCCAATGGTGCAGGGACAGAGAATGAGACAAGAAGTACAGGTGGTCAAGTGGGACTCTATAACCCTCCTTTTGAGAAGTGTGGTCTTCCTGGAAGCAACTTGCAAGAGGGTGCAAGTGGGAAGACAAGCTGACTCATGTTGGCTTGACTCACTATTGGTAGCCTTGAGTACAGCTCTGAACATCCAAGTGTGGTTGGCTTTGCTGACCTAGCTAGGACGTTTCCCATTCTTCTCTAGCCTTTCTCCCCTAGGACTCAACCTTCTCTGAGTTCCCAGGATGACCCAACCCCTCATGAGTCCCCTAGGCAATGTTGTACTCACCTCTTCCTTGCATCAATGAGAATACACGTTTTTTCAGCCGAGCTTACGTTTTCGTTCACTGCGTAGTGCACACACCTCTGATAATAGCAAGTAATATACCGTTGGAAAGCAGACACCTAAGGCTAACCGCTATCCAAGTTTCAGCCTCGTATGTTCTCGGAGCTGATCGTGACGGCGTTTTGAACAGAGGCGGTTTGAAGACGTCAGATTCTGCTTAGGCGGTTTCATGGGCATCCGCGACCCCTAAGTGGACTGCAGACTATAACAAGTGGTATCAGAGCTGTTCTACTCTGTTCGTGGGTGAAAATGGAGGCTGAAGGTTCTGCTCCAGCTGGTCCCAGTGGCAGTGGTGGCGTGAGAGGCGCTGGGGAAGCGGGAAGAGGCGTTGCAGGCGGATCTGCGCCAATGGCTTCAGTTTCAACATCAGCTAAGGATGATGTGAAGGCATTCAACCTGGAGAAGTTCTCTGGGGATGATTGGGCATCATGGAGCTTCAGGATGGAGCTCCTCTTCAACCATTATGGGCTGCTTGAAGTGATGGATGGAGAATTCAAGAGGCCTACGAGCGAAGGAGCGACCAAAGAATGGGATCGCCGGTCCAAGGATGGATTCTTCCTTCTCTCCCAATGCCTCTCATCCAACCAGCTACACCACATCAAGCATCTCATCAAGGAAGCTGAGTGTGGTCCTAAGGCATGGAGGATATTGAAGGATGTCCATGCCCCCAGCAGCGAAGCAATGGTGGTGGTGCTCGAGCGACAACTCCATGCGGTGAAGATCAACGAGGGTGATGCCGTACAAGGAGCGTTCGATCAACTCCGGGACCTCTATGTGAAGCTCTCAGCTGCTGGTGTGGACTACCCTGAGAAAATCAAGTGCTACAAGGCTCTCTCCCTGCTGCCGGAGTCGTGGGGGCCCTTGGTGGTCAACCTTAATGGGATGAAGGACTCGTGGTCCCTTGAGTGGATTCGCGCACAAGTTCTTCAAGAGGAGTTTCGGAGGAAGGAGCTGACCGCCGCTGCCGGTGAAGGTGGAGGCTCTGCCTATGGCATGAAGGGCTTCAAGGGGCGTGGCAGCAAGAAAGGGAAGGCCAAGGAAGGCTCTGGAGGGGAGCAGCATTCGGGAGGGAAGCGTGGCAACAAGGGAGGCAAGCGGTGTGGCGGCAAGTGTTGGTATTGCCATGTGGAAGGGCACCCATGGTTCAAGTGCCGCAAGCTACCTGACGGTTGGAGGCCTGGTCAGCCATCAATTGAGGGCTCCAAGGGTGTTCATGGAGCTATGGGAGAAGGCATGGGCAGTGAGGAGGGCGAAGGAGGTGCTGGCGGATACGGCGGCATGTTCTACCATGTAGGGGAGGCGTGCCCCGAGGACATGGTTGTGCCGGCCAGCAAGATTGCTCTTCACCGCTCCTCCCATTGGGTCATCGATACGGGAGCCTTCATGACCATGACCAACCGAGAGGATCTACTGGATGAAGTTAGGCCATCAAAGGCAGCCACCGTCGTTTCAGCCACCGGCCAAGTTGTACCCGTGCGTGGCGAGGGGAGAGCCATGTTCATGGGTGCGGATGGGAGGCTTGTGGGGCTGAAGCGTGTTCTCCTTGTTCCTGGATTGTGTGCCAACCTCCTCTCTACCAAGGCCCTAAGTGAGGCAGGGATGAAGATGGAGATGTTGGGCACAAAGGTTTTCAAGGCAACTCTGGATGGGCGCGTATTGTGGGACCTCCGAGGCGGCAAGGACATGCACCGGTCCATGTGGGAGATACCGGTGCTGCCATGGAAGGAGGCGGCTGCGCGCTTGGCTGCTGGAGATGTGAGAGGAGGGCGTGTTAACCACGTGGACAATGGAGGGGGTGGTGATGACAGTGATGGTGGGCTCCTTGGGCATGGAGGGGCTGCGCTTCCAAGTGTAACTCCTAGCACGGGTGAGACGGATTGGCTCACCGCACACCGTCGCTTTGGCCACGTGGCGCTACCTCAGTTGCAGCAGCTGTTTAAGGAGGAAAGAGTCAAGGGGCTGAGGATAAAGGGGGAGCCCAAGGAGGTGGGATCTTGTGAGACTTGCTTGACCAGCAAGTTTTCACGGTTTCCCTTCCATTCGGTGGAGGGGAAGTCGAGTGACCCGGTGGAGCTCGTGCATGTGGATCTCGTGGGACCCATGAAGGTGAAGGGAGATGGTGGGGCCCTGTATTCTATGACCATGGTGGATGACAACACAAGGCTCACCTGGTCCTTTCCACTTGCAAAGAAGAGTGATGCTGCAAGGGTCATCATTGAAGAGTGGCTGCCCATGGTGGAGCGAGAGAGCGGCAAGCGGGTGAAGGCGATACGTAGTGACCGTGGTGGGGAGTTCTTGGGAGCGGAGTTCCGGAGCTGGCTGAAGCGGCATGGCATCAAGCAGCAGCTCACCACGGCCTACACCCCTCAATCCAATGGCGTGGCAGAGAGAGCGAACCGGACCATCTTGGAGGGCGGGAGAACGATTTTGGTAGACTCGGGTCTACCCTTACGGTTCTGGCCCCTCGCTATTCGCCATGCCACCGTCATCAAGAACCGAGTATTGACTCATGTGGGAGGGCAGCATTGGGTCCCTATGGAGAAATGGAGGGGCAAGAAGCCTCTGGTGGATATGCTTCGAGTCTTTGGGTGCATGGGACTCGTGCACGTCCCTAAGGAAAAGCGTGACAAGCTTCAAGCGGCGGCGGTGTGGGCTGTTCATTTGGGACTTGCACAAGGGAGCAAGGGGTGGCTCATGTGGGACCCAATAGCCAACACCATCTTCACCACCAGAGATGCCAAGTTCATGGAGGGGCTCATGTTCAAGGAGTGGTTGGAGCGAGGGAGGAGCAAGGTCACCATTCCGCTCGGAATAGAGGTGGGAACGAATGACCCACTCTTCATTCCCATCGAGTTGTCTTCGTCTTCAGAGGTAACGGAGGTGTCACATGACTTGGGAGGTGCTGAAGGGGAGGCAGCAGAGGTGGAGGGAGTGTTGCAGCAAGAGAAGGCCCCTGTAGCTGAGAGAGGTGATGCCGAGGAGGAGGTGCAGCAGCCTACACCATCCCCTACTCTTCCACCAAGGCGGACAACCCAAGGGAAGCGTGGTGCTGTCCGTGGTGGAGCTAAGGAGAGTGCAGCCAAGGAGAGGCCCAAGAGAGCTGCTCACCCAAGGGATTTCCTCAAGTATGAAAGGCTTGGGGGTCCCAAGGCATTGCTGGTCCAGGAGGAGGAAGATGATGAGGAGAAGGGAGCCGAGGGAGAGATGGAGCAGATTTGTTGCTTCGGTGTCAACTTACCTCATGAACCGGCTTCGATGGAGGAAGCACTTGCTGGAGATGATCGAGAGGCTTGGTTGGCTTCAAGGGAGGATGAGTTTAAGAGCCTCATGGAGAATGGAACGTGGACCCTCACAAATCTGCCCCCGGGAAGAAAGGCATTGGATTGCACGTGGATATTACGTGTGAAGACCGATGCGGAGGGGAAGTTGGAGAGGCGCAAAACAAGACTTGTGATCAAGGGTTTCCAGCAGAGGGAGGGGGTTGACTTTAAGGAGGTGTTTGCTCCTGTTGCCAAGGCTCCTACGCTCCGGGTGTTGCTGGCAGCAGCTGCCGTTTGTGGTTGGAAGGTGGAGCAAATGGATGTGAAGACGGCTTTCCTCTATGGCGTGGTAGATGAGGAGATTTACATGAAGCAGCCAGAGGGGTACGACGATGGGAGCGGACGTGTTTGCAGGCTCAACAAGGCCATCTATGGCCTCAAACAAGCTCCAAGGTGCTGGTATGCAAGGCTGGTGGAGGCGTTGGAGGCTCTTGGCTTCAAAGTTAGCGGGTGCGACGAGAGTCTCTTCATAACCGAGGGGGATGAGGAGAAAGTGTTTCTCCTTGTCTACGTCGATGACATTCTCCTCTTCTCTCCATCCCTGGAGAGGATCAAGGAGGTGCAAGGGAAGCTGAAGGAGACCTTTCAATGCAAGGCCCTTGGACCAGTGGGGTATTACCTTGGTCTTCACGTGGAGCGGGACGAGGTGAAGGGATGGTTGAGGCTTCACCAACACAAGTACCTTGCAGCCATGGGGGAGAGGTATGGGCTGGAGGAAGGGAGGAGTGTAAAGACTCCACTACCCTCAGGATTTCAGCTACACCTTGATGAAGAGGAGGGTGAGGTGTTGGAGCCCGAGTTGCAGCGTCGGTTCCAGTCAATGGTGGGGAGCTTGATGTATGCTTCGGTCAACACTCGCCCCGATATTTCATTCGCGGTTTCGCAGCTGGCTCGTGTGGTGTCTAGGCCCCTTCAAGAGCACCTTGATGCAGCAGAGAGGCTGGTGAGGTACTGCATGGCAACCTCAAGGGTGGGGCTGCAATATTCAGTGCATGGGCAGCTGAAGCAAAAGGGAGTGGAGGAGGTGAGCACGAAGACCGGTGCACCTGCAAGGCGTGGACACTTGTACCTCTCGTGCTTCACCGATGCTACCTGGGCAAGTGACATCAGTGATGCTACATCCCACGGTGGCTATGTATGCTGTGTTGGAGGGAGTCCAGTGAGCTGGAAGTCTAAGAAGCAAGGGGAGATAGCTCACTCATCAACGGAGAGCGAGTACATGGCGTTGTTTCATGGGGTGAAGGAGGTGGTTTGGATGAGGAGGTTGCTTGAGGAGTTGGGGCAGGAGCAAGAGGGTCCTACACCTGTGTTTTGTGACAGCCAAGTAGCAATTGCAATGGCTCGCAATGCTGTGCTCCATGGGCTGAACAAGCACATGCATATCAAATGGCATTGGGTGAGGAAGGAGGTGAAGAAGGGCACGGTCTCCTTGCACTACATCAACACTACCAAGCAACCTGCAGATTTTTTGACGAAGCGGCTTGCAGAGCATCAGCATTGGACCTGCGCCACCTTGTGTGGCATGTCCT